CAGTGATATTTTCAGCCATGTTAAAAACTAAAACTAAATCTTATATCACAAAATAAACTGTATCGTGGATTTCAAAAAAATGCAGGCCTTCTGCTGATCCTGTGCAAGAAGGCATGTGCACACAGACAGATGTGTTTATATATCGCGCTTCTCAAGCATCCTGTCAGCCTGTTGGGAACAGCATCGCAGCTGAAGCACATATCACCCAGACATCAGCTGTACAGGAACCAAATGGTTCCTTACCAAAAATTACCTTAGAATTCAAAGTATCCAGGCAACTTGACAGGCACTACCTATAATTCATAAACTAACCCTATCCCTGTACCCCACTGCCTCCCAGCTCACAGACATAATCCCTACATTCAGCAAGGAACCATTCTGAATTTCTACTGTCTCACTGCCGCACTGAATTTTGAAATCATCCCCATAGAACAAACAATGAAACACCATGAAAATAAGCAAAATAAAAAGATGTTAGTTGTCAGTCAAATCATGGTAGAATCATTGGTAAAATCCACAGGTTTGCTGAGTCATGATTAGAAACTAGTTTTAATCCTGTCTCACCAATGAATTTCAGTATAAGGCCCATAGAAACACCACAGCCAATTTTAAACTTACAGAATCAGTTAGTGACAGATAACTTGTTGCATTTAATGAGCCTGTGAAAGTCAAGCCATCAGTGGGAGCCTAATATTTTCTTTTCTTTCTTCTTTTTTTTTTCTACTGAATATAGAACCCAGAGGTGCTTTACCAGTGAAGCACATCCCCGTCAACCCCCTCTTTTTTCCAAATTTTATATTTTGAGACAGGATCTCACTAAGGTGCTTAGGGCCTCTGCTTAATTGCTGAGGCTGGTCTTGAACTTTCAATCCTCCTGCGTGAGCCTCCCAAAACGCGGGAAATACAGGTGTGCCTCATGGTGCCCTACTGGGAGGCAAACACTTCAAAGTCAGGTGGCACATGCTCTCTATGAATGTGCTCCTAAAGCTGAAATCAGCCCACCGGGTCCCCAACACTAAACACTGCTCCCATATCAGTGCAACCTTTCCTGCCTTCATCACCCACAAAAACCCAAAACAAGTTCTTCTCAAGCCCTTTGTGCAAAAGATCTTTCTTTACTCACTGAGACTGGCCTAACTAGCAAAATTCTCCCTTCCTTAAGCAAGTACTTTTAAGATTGAGTCTGTTGGCCTCCTGCTTCCATGCCATATACAGATATCTGAAATCATAAGATGAATCTTTCATTTACCACGTTGTACAGACTTCTTTGTCTACACAGTGATCCGTTATGTTAAAGTATATTATTTAAGAGGCATTCTTGACTTAGTATAGATTCAGACCCCTATGTAAAATTGTGTCTTCTTTTTAAAAGTTCATCTTTCCTTGGAAATTCTGCACTTACAGTTTCTAAAGTTGAGCTTTTCACCTGAAGCTCTGAACTGGCACCACCTCTTGCCTTCCTTGTCTTCGTTTAGGCCATAATCATGCACCTCGTTCTCCAAACTAGGAGTCTTGGGTTTGGCTTTGACATTAACTTTCCTTCTCTCTGCCCTCTCCAGGCATACCAACACTATCCATGAAATGTTCCTCAGATCTCTGCCCTCCCCTCATTCTTTTGGCTCTATCCTTAATTAAAAATTTCAACCCCTTTTTGTTATGATGCTTAACCAAGTTGAATTGTTATGGGAAGACTCTCCCACCCTTTCCACACATCCCCTAAGCGTCTGTGTGAGGATAAAGAAGCAGAACTCAGCTTCTCAGTCTGTACAACACCAGGCCCTCCTAAGAGACCAAGTGGAGGCTCCTTAACACCAGGGCCAGCATTGCTGAATCCACCCTCCTCTGCACCTGTCTTGTCCATCATTCCCCCCTCCCCTCTCATCCCATTTAAACCTCAATTGCTCTTACCTTCATTGTCCATGCTCATTCCTCAGCCTAAAAACTTTTTTTTTTGTCTTCTGAGCATGATTATATTCCCGTCCCAAGTGGAAAAAATTCTCCCACTAAAATCATCTCTGTTCCAACATCAGTTACTCCTTGTGCTTTACAATCCATTCTGGGAATACACACAGAATTTGAAATATTTGTGCTCATTATTAAATGTTTTTCCCCTGGTGGAAGCAGTTGATGGGCAAAGACAAAATTTTATTCCTCTCTGAGTTCTATTGGCCAGAACAAAAGGTAATGTAGAGTCAGTTTCCAGTAAATGTTTGTTAAAAAGGAATTTGTTTGTCTGCATGTAGGTTTTAACATGTTCATGGAACTTGCAGCATTTCCCAACCCAGAGCTCTTCATCCTATTAATTCCACTTGACCCTGACCTCTCTGCACTGCCTAAATGAAGTCTGTGTGTTTCTCTGAGCAAATGTGAGTCTCTGGTTTCATTTTCCTGTCTGCTGGGCGCTCGCTGAGCTATTCTTAAGAGAGAATGCCAAGGCATTCCAGGATGAATGTTTGCATGTGTTTCCGGAGGAATGTGTCTTGGACTTTCCTGTCTTCACTGGCATTTTAAAGGAATGATTTCTCAGGCAGCAGAACCGAATGATTGCATGATGTTTGCCTTGGCAGTTGTTAGCAATGCTTTGGCAGATAGACTCCACACCTCCTGGTTTGGGAAGTGGAAGTATAAAGAAATATTTATGGAGCACTTACTGTATGCCAGGTACCATGTTAGAAAATAAAGATACAAAAACAAGATACACACTACTTTCCAAAAGTTTGCATCCTAGTAAAGAACAAGCCAGGTACAATTGTACCTAGTAAGAGACAAGCCGATGTGCAGGCAAGAGGAAGGTGCCCCTGGAGGTCCGCTGGCTAGGAAGGGCTTCATACAGTAGTGACATGTTTGGGTGTATATTCACCTATAGGCTGTGCAAAGAACACACTCAAAAGAGTCCTGGGTAATCTAGAAGCCTGTGCCACTGGGAAATCTTTTCAAGTTAATTTTCATTAACTTGACATTCACAGGCCTTTCAAATGCACAGATCTGATTTCTGCTCAGCTTTGTCAATTTCATACCTACAGTGCACAACTGCCACCACATTTTTGGTCTCTTCAAACCAAAAAAAAAAAAAGGGGAGGTGGAGATTTATGTAACATAAGACTAAGTATGGGGCTGGAGTTGTGGCTCACTGGTAGAGCGCTCGCCTGGTACGTTCAAGGCCCTGGGTTCAATCCTCAGCACCACATAAAAATAAATAAATAAAATAAAGGTATTGTGTCCAACTACAACTAAAAAATAAATATTTTTTTTTGTTTTTAAAAAAGACTAAGTATGTTTGCCAAAGCAAACCTTGGTCACCATTTTGAGGCTACACTTTAAAAATCTCCAGATTTGAAGCCTGGACAAAGGAGAGGGAATCCTGATAAAGGGGTCAGTAAAAATGGTGGATGGAATAAGTCACAGGACATTGTGCGACATGCTGGACACTTTGTACAGTGGTGGCAACCCTTTGAACTGCTATTGCTTGTTGATGGTGCCTTTGTGTCCACTTGACTTTTATGTGGCCAACTCTCTGTGTCAGTGCAGGGCACACTAATCCCTCCTGCTGAGCTCAGGTCATTAAATACTCGCCCTACATTTTACAGCTTCAACCCTGTGACAGGGGAGCTGACCCCAGCTTGGTGCCAGGCACCTAGCAAAATGGGGATTAATAAAACCCGCCCTGGTGTAGCCAAGGGCTCCACAGCTGCTTCTTGCAATTAAACTTGTCATCATTCTCTCAAGAAGCCCCTGTTGATGTTTAAATCCTAATTGGCAGGAGACACCTGTTTCCTGATGGGAAGGGGTCATTCATTTGTGGGCAACACAGAACGGAGGATGAGAAGCTAGAGGAATGAACACAAATAAATACCTTTGCCTCAAATCCGTTTGCTATCATTTGGAGGCTCATTTTTGTTTTGTTTTCCTTTTTCTTTCTTTCTCCCCTACCCTTGACCCCACCAGAACAGCATGTGCAGCCTCATGCTGGTCCTTGGGAGCAAGTAACATTTTAGCCTTGAATCTTTTTTTTTTTTTTTTGAGCAAGAACTTTACAAGTGCCTCCCACTGGCATCCTTCATATTCTCCAGCATGAGTGCTTTTTCTTGACTACGTTTTTGCCAGGGTCCTGGTGTCATTCATTCTGGTATTTGGGTATTCACTAACTGCCTGCAAGCTGCTTACTGGTCTATTTGTGCCTATAAAGATCACCAAGTATATTTTTAGTTCCTGTCTTCACTGATCTTGCATGCTCAATAGAGGGAGGCATTAGAACTGCACGGGTAGTGCACGTGAAATATTCTGCTCAGATCTACTTGTCCAAGAGATAGCAAGATTAGCCTTTCCACTGGGAACCTCAAAAGAGTCTGATAGAATTCACCGTGACCCTTTCTCATAACACCACTGTATGTTTTAATTTAATATTTAATTATTATCTGATAACTAAGGCAAATATATAAGGTAATAAAAATAAAATAGCCCGATAGCACGAAGAAGCTATGAATCAGCAACGATTGAGGAATAACGGAGACCCCATTCTCATTTTCATGCTGTAAGCATTTATTGAACACCTAGTATGTCTGGCTCTATTCTAGCACTTGGACTTTTGAGATCACTCAAGGCTTTCACTTAGATTGCAAGGACTGTCTTATTAACAACTTTGCCAATAACCAGTTAAGCTCTCCTGGCAACCTTACCATGTCCTTGTGGGCTTTAGTGAAATGAGGCAATCAGGCAAGACTTACTCTGGAGTCCAAGCAAATTCCAGTGGGATGTCCTTCAAAAGCAATGCAATGCATTCAAATACTTTCTCCTGTCCTTGTACTTACTATATGACTTGTTTTATGCCCAGTTTTATAAGATTTTATCTCTTGTTTACTCAAAATGGCAGTGTCATTACATTACGACTGCTGAAAACAAAGGAATAAAAGACCTGATGATTGCCCTTGATATGCTGGTCTTGGCGAATGAGGTGCCCACAGTAAGAACAGCCACCTCCACACGACGATTTGGCATGAAAGTTTTTTTTTTTTATTGTTGGTCGTTCAAAACATTACATAGTTCTTAATACATCATTGGCATGAAGGTTTAATTCAGGGAATTCCACTGTTATTAGTACTCTAAAAGTTTCTTTAAAACCTATGGATACATTTTTTCCATGAAGAAATTTTAGGATAAATGATTCCTAGTATTTAGTGTCTAAAATGATTTCATGAGCATCATGTTAAAATACAGATTCCTGGGGTCCTACACACAATGATTCTGATTCATCAGGCATGTGGGGGTGGGGTAGAGTTGACCTTTAAGAAGCACTCCAGATGATTTTGATGCAACCTATACTTAAAGAAGCTCTGAGATTCTCCACGCACCTGGGGGTCCTTTGGATAAGGGAGACTGTAAATGAAAGGATAAAATTCAGTCAGGACCCTTCCTGCCTCCATAAAAGACCAAGTGGGCTTCACTTATGGATATTAAAGTACTTCCAAGGCTCACAAATTCCTCCTTATACAATCGATCCTGGGAGATACCACAATCCGGGGATGCTCAAGTCCCTTATATAAAATGTATTTATCTATAACTTGTATGCATCCTCTTGTATACATTAAATCATCTCTAGATTACCTATAAATACCTAATATAAGTCCTGTATCAACAGTTAAACTGTATTGTTTAGGGGAGAATCACAAGAAAAATGTTCTATTTTTGGTGCAATTTTTGCATTTTGATGCAATTTTTTTAATGCAGTAGTTTTCCACTGCAGTTGACTAAATCTGCATATGAGGAGAGTCAATTCCATGTCATGCCACATGTACTATAGTTGATCATATACTGCCTTTTTGTATATTAAAAACTGCTCTAAGGATTTTGACTATTGATACTGTTTCTGACTTCCAAGGCCCTTTAAAAGACCCCCCTGTGTAGTTCGCAGCTCACTCATTACCATACAAGGAGGGCAACTCTTGGGCTAAAACCTCCTTTTAGATTCAGTTTAGAACAAAGTGTGAGGCTTGCAGGCTCTGTGTGTTTATGAAGTAGGCAACAACTAGCAGCACAAAGAACTTGGAGGAGAGGAGAATCGGTGATTCATCCAGGAAGAAATAGCTTGCACCTGTGAGAGCACAGAAGGCGCCACTTGGCATTATTGGGGTGCTGCATCAGCTGGAAGGCAGACTCTGTCCCCAAACGAACTGACAGCTTGTAGCTCATGAGCAGCACTGGGCCTCTCTCACTGTTATGTTTTGCTTTTGGAGTGAAAGCAAACTCGTGACCCACATGGGAGGGGAGGGGAGGTATGTACTTAGTAGCCTTCAGTCTTGGCAGGAGGGTAGGCGCTGCAGAGATGGGATGCAATCTAATAAGCACATGTGTTCTTACAGTATGCCTCATAGCCAGGCCACTTTATCTTCAGTAATCCCAATCTATGTCCCAGAATCACATTATTTGGCTGTGGATCAAACCTCCTGTATTCTTGGCCTGGAGAATAATGAAACGTGATCTCAAGACAAGATAGGACCGTGAGCTGAAGAGGCTCTGATGAATTTCCCTCCCCCAGAGGCACAACATTAAATGCAACATTGCATCAGGGAAATATATTTAACCTGCCACTAGAGAAGACCAAACATCGCCTCCCATCAGTGGCATCCTGCCTTGATAGTTTATGATTGCTGACAGGATCCCATAGATGTTACAGATAAAGAACTTCAGAAAACAAGGCTTTGGCAATGGGCAGCAGTCACTAGCAGTAACCACTGTCTTCAAGAAGGCACTGGATGCTATCAGACGTGTCCTTCAAAGGCCATTTATCAAGAAAAACCCTTCAGGGTAAAATTGTGTTGAAATAAAAAAAAACTTTGTGCTTAAAGAGTCTGGTGAGAGGAAGGAGGCTTGGGCCAGTGGAGCTCACCACAGTCTTGCTGTTCCTTCTTTGAGGCAGCCCTGGGCAGGGGGACAGTCTCTGTGATCTAGGAAGGGTCACCAGGAGGGCAGCCCTCAAGAAGGCTCCCGGCAGATCAGGACTGACTCCCTCCAGCCACTGATGATCAGAAAGTGACTGGGGCTGAATTCTCTAGTGGGGAGAGGAATCGTTGGCTTTGGAAGGCTGGCTTTCCCGCTGTGAAATCATAGACATGTCACGGAATCTCTAAAGACAATGGGATCTCCTTTCCAAGTCTGTTCCCTTGACTATGATTTGAACTCTGACCTGCACGGCAAGGTACCACTTTCAAAATATAAACTTGCCTTAAGCTTAGTATTCACGCCAGGGACACATAGGTAAATTAGGTAACGGTCATGGTGGTAGGAAGGAGAAATATAGTAAAGGATAGCAGTTGTCGGGGGGAGGAAGAATACAAATTCTGTTGATTCTATATGAAGAAGAAATTTCCAGGACCGGCATTTTATTATTTTAATGTCATAGGATTTGAAAAATATCTCCCAAAGTCAATTTTCCTGGAAGGTCAAAAAAGGATGTTTGAGATTTTGATTCTGCATTTTTAGAGAACTAAAGTTTTCCTTCTTCTTCTTCTTTTTTTTTTTTTTGGAAAGAAAAGAAACAAAAAAGTATATATTTCTCCCAATAGCCAGATACATTCTCAGTAATAAATTTCATGGTTCTGTGGCCAGTTCAGAGTAATTGAGAAGACAGAAATAGTCAAACACTGCCACCTGCCGTCACCCTTCCACATTTGCTCTTAGAACTTTGGTTTTATTCAAATTTGTCACATAGGGATAGATGATCCACTGATCCACTGCAAGGCAGTGGCTCTCGGGTTTCAACTAGCTTCAGACTCATCTAGAGGACCATGACAGTTTAGCTTGCTGGGCCCCACCTCCAGGGTTTCTCTGATTCAGCAGATCTGAGGTGAGTCTCCAAAAGTTGCATTTCTAAAACCTTCCCAGGGACTGCTGTGGCTGCTGATCCAACCACTGATCTATTTAGAAAGGCCAAGGATGACCTCGACTGCTGATGTAAAGATCTCCAGGCAAAAGAATTCAGCTGCTCAAACTCTCTAGAGACTTACATTTTATTGTTTATTCTCCCTCATCCTGTACTTCTCCTGGGAAGAACAGTTCGGGTGTGAAAGCCAGATGAAAAAGGATCTGATCAGAGATGCAGTCAGTCAAGCATGTGGGTTGCTGGGTCTGAAGCTGAATGCTTATAACAGAGGCGCATGGGATGAATTTGACTACAGAAGATTGTTTAAATAAAGGAATAGCTTGGCCTGGATTGTGAGGGACCTGCCCATTTGTAAGAGAAGTGTTTTCAAACTGGATGGATAGTGCTAGGCTTTGAAGGTCTGGGCAGAATCCCAATTTCCCTGCCTTTCTTTCACATGCCACATGTTAATTTGTCTTCAAGATTCATTTATTCTGAAAAGCAGATGGCTGGAAGTGTGAAATTTTGGTGGTATTAAGTACTATCATTTTTGTCATCACCAATGTTTTCAGTAAAACTGGAGTCACTATTGATTAAATAACTCAGAAAGCAAAGCTATGCTTTTGAACTTTGGAAATTGAAGAGAAGGGATTGTGCTTCAACTACTTTTTATTGTGGTACAAGTCATGTAACATTATATTTACTGTATTAATCGTTTTTAAATATATAGTTTAGTAGTTTGAACATATTTGCATTATGTGCAATAGCTCTCTAGAAGTTTTTCATCTTGCAAGACTGAAACTCTAAATGCATTAAACTCTAATCCCCCCTCTGCCATTACCAGAGTCGTAGCCCTTAGCAACAACCCCTCTACTTTCTGTTTTGATGATTTTTAAGTAAGTTAGATGCTTCATGTGTGTGGAATCATACAGCATTTATCCTTCCATGAGAGGCTTATTTCAGTTAGTATAATGTCTTTGAGTTTCATCCACACTGTAGCATATAACACAATTTTATTCTTTTTGAAGGATGAATAATATTCCATTGTATGTGTGTGTACTAAATTTTCTTCATACATTTCTCTGCTGATGAACACTTGGATTGCTTTCCAACTCATGACTATTGTTAATAATGAACAGAACACATTCATGTGTTTGCCAAGGACTAGTGAGATAGAAGAGGGAGAAATATGATTTCTGAATCATATGGTAATTTTATTTTTAATCTTTTGAAGATCATCCAAACTATCATCCATCATGAAAAGCATGTATTCTAATTTTTCCACTTCCTTGATGACACTTGTTACTTTCTATTCTTTTGATCGTGGCCTTCCTAGAGAATGTGAAGTGATATCTCACTGTGGTGTTGATTTTCATTTCTCTAATAATTTGTGAGGGTAAACATCTTTTCACACATGCTTATGGTTATTTGTGTATCTTCTTTGGAGAAATGTCTTTTCCTATCCTTTCTTCACTTTTAATTGTGTTATCTGTGTTCTTCATATATTCTGGGTAATAATCCCTCATCAGAGATATGATTTGCTAACATTTTCTCCCGTTCTGGGGATTGTCTTTCATGCTGATGCTTGTCTCCTTTGATGGGAACAGGTTTGAACATTGATGTCATCCCATTTGTCCATTTTTGCTCTTGTGGCCTATGCGTCTGCTATCATAGACATACAAAATGTTCACCAAGTCCTTTGTCCCAAAGCTCTTCTCTTATTTCTTTTTTCCTTCCACAAATTTTGTAGTTTTAGATTTTACATTTTGGGTTAACATCTATCCATAATGTAAGGAAAGGGAAGAAAAACTTTCATTCTTCAGCTCAGCCCATCATAGACCTTATGCCGGAGTCCCTGGCTACTTCCTAAACTTCTCTATTGTCATTCTGACGTTCTGAGTAAAATCTGGTTTGTTTTGCCATTCCTTCCTTTTTTTCCCCCTTTATAAGTCTCTTTTCCTACTTCATTCTTTATTTTCCCATTAATTTTTTTATCATCATTTCCCTTTTTTTTTTCCAAATTATCTACAGCAGGAGGGATTTGTGTATCCTAGACTCAAGTTTTGCAGGTGAAGAAAATATATACAAACACAATACTCGACAACAGAATGGTTGATAGGGTCCACAGAGTTTTCTCAGGGAGCATACTTTTTCAAGTAAGTTGCATCTTCTTCAACCTAGTTTTTCTTCAAACTGTGTGAAACATATTTTAGAATCTTACATGAAATATCATTCTATAAGTCATTGACCTCGAAAAATGTCAATTTCCAAGGTTCAATCATATATATATATATATATATACATATGTATATATATATATATATATGATGTGTGTCTGTCACTATTAGCAGCAGTCATCTGTGTGTGTGTGTAGCATATCAATTGCCTACAATGTGCATGGGCCACCAGCATTCTGAACAAGACAAAACAAGCAAACATAAAACACGAGTCATGCAGAGCCCTGGCTCTTGGAATTTCTTCTAGATTTGCATTTATTTAGGCACTTGCTCTTCCAGCCCCTGACATCCTTTGTCTAATTTCAACCCCATTTTGTTTTTCTTTCTTTGGATTTTATAACCAAGTTCTGGACACTTTTATTTAATGCTAGCTAACAAATCCCGTGGGCATTTTCTCTGATAATTACCCCTTAGGATTGCCCACTTCAATGATGTTCTAGTGCCAAGTCCAGGCCCAGAGGGCGCTGCTGACCGTCCATGCAGGGAGTGCCAGGGAAATGCCACCTCTGTTAGTACCACTACCACCTCTGGATAGCCCACCTCTAGTCTGATCTGTAATGCCCACAGAGCTTACCTTTGCCAGTATGACACATTTTCCAACATCTTCTCATTCCAATCACAAGTGTCCAGGGTCCTCGTGATGCTTCCTGGCTCCTTGCTTCATGCATTTGATCAATCTCCCCAAGCAACAGTTTCTGAAGAGTGCCCAATGTTCAAGACTTTTCCAACCTCCTCTTCCAGTTGGATCCCCATATAAACGGATGCCTCCCTTATCTTTCCAGGGAATTAACGTTCACTGAAGAATGTTAGCTATTTTGTAAGTCTTTGAACAAATAGAAAATTTATTTAATAAAAGTTTAAAGCAACATATTGAAAGCTCTGCCATGGAGGGAGGAGTCTGCAGCACACATGGAGGTGAAGAACACTTTTCTTATTTGAAGTGACTTTTGATATGCATGTATCCGTTGCTTCTGGAGATGGTGCTTTGTGGAAATAGCCTAAAGACTAATTCTCAAGTATTGAGATAACAGAATGTTCACAAATTGAAAGGAAAAAAAAATTGAATGTGATTGGAATTCCCTAAGGGCATAAAGATGCTGATTCCTTACCTGCAGGTTGCTGAATATGAAAAACAGGATTCAGCAAATACTCAGCAAAATCCAGGTACTGGAAATCCAAGAGCAAATGGAAAATTTTAAGTGTACTTTTCATCTTCCTTTTAGCACTAAATACAGTTTCTGACACATAATAGAGGGTAAACAAACATGTGTTCACTGATTTCTGACAAGAGTTACTGCCCTCTGGGACCAACAGATACAGGGCCAAAACCTGGTTGTGGAAAAAAACTGGCTCAGGGCGGAGGAAGAACAACAGTAACACAAACCACAGTGATGAAACCTAAGGAGTGAGATAAGAATAGTTCTTTGGGTGTATTTGCAAGAACACTTCACCAGGCACTTCCCCAGGAAGAAACCCTAACACTGTTAAAATTCATTCAATCAAATCAGAAAACTCCTACCGACTTCCCCACTTCCCTTCACTAATGCTCAGGTCTGGGGTCTTGCCTCTGGCGATACTTCAGAGGAACACAAGAGGGCGTTCTGTTTTAACCTTTCAGAGTCCCTCGAATACCAATCAACCAAATTCATCCAAGACAAATTCCACAAAATGACTTTAGAGAGAGCATGCCTTGTAGAAAAGCGGTGTTGTGATTAGACTACGATATGCATAATTTATTTTACACAAAACTGATGCAAAGTCCATGAACACTGAAGTTAGTCATGGCTATTCAGATTTGGTGCATTGTTTAGAGAAGAGGTAGACAGCGAGTGTTCCCAGGGTTTAGAAAACCAGGTTTTGCCTTTATGCTGTGGCACATTCCTTGCTGGGAGCGGTTTCTTTTTTTTTTTCTTTTTTTCTGCAGCCATCTACTTGATTAATTTGATGTTTCCAAAGATCCAGGAAAAAGATAGTTCTCAAGT